GTTGGAATCAGCTCAATGGCAGTGGGTTTGGTTTTGGTTTTTAGACTCATATGGAATGTAAGCACTCCACAATACAATATCTTTCACACCTGGTCAGCCAAGAAAAAATTGTAAATTAAAACCATGATCTGGATTGTGAAAGGAAGTTGCTATACTTGTATCCTCTGAGGATATACTTGTCTAGATGGTCTTCCAAATTTCTTTCCAAAATTTCCCATATACTTTTAAGTTTGGATTATGACAACACTAAGCAAGCCTAAATACAGGCATTTTAAATTTTACTTGTTTCATATCACTACCATGAAAACATCAAAATATTTTAAGCACTGCTGTTTCAGCTCCCTTTTGTGTGTATATGTGGCCACATCAGCACATGTAAGTTGAGGAAAGCAGCAGTTCTGCATCCCATAAAATTGAAGTGGAGAAATGGGTTACTGCAGGCACTGAAAAATCCTCTTGACACTATTGAAATGGTTATAGAAATAAAAAGTTTCTCCTTTCCTCAAGGGAGCTATTTAAGAATGATACAGAGATAACATCTTTAAGGGTGGAAATGTTTGTATCTATGGTCTCTAGGATTCCCATTACTTGTAGTTTAAAGTGAAGCCTCAAAATTAGACAAACTGTCTTTTACTCATGGTCACTAAGTATCCTGTGTAAGTTTTCTGAAGAAAAGGAGTTTTGAAGAATCATATTGTTGACAATGTGTCACTCATTTTAAATCCATTGTTACCCTTGAGTTCTTATACAAGAATACAGCAAATGGCATCCTCTAAAATAGGACTGGGAGCTCCCAACGTTGGAAGAGTTGCCCAAGAACCCGCAACAGAGCCCTTTAAAAAGGCACGTGGGGCAGAGTGTCTCAGGGACAGCCGCCACCACCAGCAGCTTGCGGATTAATCAACGTCTGGCTTCCCGGCCCCGGTCATCGCTGGGGGAGCCCCGACAGCAGGACCTCCTGCCTCGTCATCGCTTCGTTTCTGGCTGGCACATCCCCATGACCGTCCGCGGCTTTCCATGCCTCGGTTCCGACAGGCGAGCGCGGGGCTCAGGACTCACCTCGCGAGCCCACTCAGCAGCGGGGAGGGTGGGAGTCAGGAAACCCTGGGTCCGGATGTAACCCTGCGCTCGGCGGTGTCCCCCTCCCCTCTCCAGCGGAGCCTCAGGTACCTCAACCGCCTCAGCAAAGTCAGCGTTCAACTGGTGGGCGGTCCGTCCCGCCGCCGTCGCCGCCGCGTCCCCTCAGTGGGCCCCCGAGCCGCGTTCCCGCCGCTGGCACCTGACTGACGGACTTCGAGCTCTGGCCTGGCGCCGCTGCCGCGCACGCGCTCCACGCACGCCTTCGTCCCCCCGCGGCCCTCGGGGCGGGAACGCGAGACTGCCTGCCGCCCGCACCTGACTAAACTGACAGACCCCGAACT